GGGGAACTAGGTGTAGCACTTGCACCCTAAAAACTATTTCTGCTTTTTTTCTTTGTATTTTGTTTTTGTTTCTACTACTTTCCACCACTCGATTATACTGGGTGTTATTCAATTATAGTTTATCTTAAGCCTTGGTAACAATAATAATCACTTGCCTGTTGGGGAAGTTGTATACTTGGCCATTAAACAAGGAAAGGATACTTGCAAATAATCAATTTTTGGTCAAAACTTAAAGAAATATTTGTTTAAGCCACACTCAAAATTGATATCAATTTCTTCTTTCCTTTGATTCATAGCGGAGTCTTGCACAGTCTCAGAGTTTGGGTGGTCAGTCAACAGTTCGCCGAGCTGTGTCAGGAACAGCTTCCAGTGTTGCATTCACTCCTCTCCAAGGACTAGAGATTGTCAATCCCCAGGCAGTGGAGAAGAAAGTAGAAGATGCAAATGCCAAGTATTTCTCAAGTACTGCAGGATTCTTCAAGGTCCAGAAAAAATAAAAGGATCTTTAATCTTGTCTTGGGTGATGGACGCTCTACTGAAAAACAATGTTTTGTTAACAGTGTTTGTGAACCAGTTTATGTGAAGAACAAGCTACAAAATGTTCTGTTGCATTCATTTGCGGTTAGATGGAGTAAGCAAAATTAGCCCCAAGCATGGTTCTAATCTAAAGTATCCCTTAATTCTTCAAGAAGAAAATATTATGTTTAGTTTTTCTTTATTTTGTGTGTTATATGTAATAGTGGAAGTACATACACATGTACTTTGAATGTGTCCACTAACAGAAGGAAGTAAAGTGCAAGCAATGTCAATAAATGATGCTTAGATGCTGAAATTTCAAAACTACATCAAACCATAGTTGGCCAGATACAAGGAGCATACCTTTTTTTCTTTATGCAATTCAAAGTGGATGTTGCTTGGTTACTTACTAAATTTTGAAGTATGCGTTGATCTTTTGAAATTCCCCCTCCTATCTTCCTTTCTTTATTTTGTGTCACTTTCCTGATGTTATCATCTTGCTATTAGCCAACTGCAGCAGTTGAACAGACTGTAGTGATAACCGCTCAGCTTAAATGTGCCATTTGTAAGTGCAAAGCAGTTTTGAAAAATTAAAAAAAAAAGAAGTAATTGAAATAATAGCTGTGCCTAGAGAACTTGGTCACATCTCTGTAAAGTCAAGCATAATCCTTCATGCTGCCAATTTCCACAAAATTCAAGCTAGGTTATCATCCTGGACTATGTAATTTAAAGATACTCAAGATTTCCCATATTTTGTGACACATTTGCCTTAAACACATGTAGAACCTTATCCACTATACTGTGTGCTTTTGAAATTTTGCTACTACATTTAAGACATTTTTTCACATCTCTTTGGTGATTTACCTCATGTGGCATTCTTTGGGTTGCCATTCTACAACTCCTAAGAGTGACCAGCATCTTATTTCTCCTTACAATATCACCACTGAATCACATTAATTTCATGAGAATAAAGGAAATGATCATCAACTAGAGAAACTCTTGATTGTAAGACAAATTCTCCTTGTCAGCACATTAGTATATGTACAGAGAACAGCATGGAGAATATAAATACTGATGTTAGGGTGTAAAGGGTCAATTTTCCATTGCTACCAAGTCCGTTTTCTCTGCCATTCCATGACTGAGTTTTTAATTTACATTGCCAAAGAAAGGTGGTGAGAACAAGCTTGACAACCAAACCGAATTCTTGATTAAGATCGGCCATCTTGATCATAAAATGTTCTGATTCTTTTAGAATGTCTGCGTTCTATCTCGGCCACTGAACAGTTAAAGCAAACAACCCTCGCCTCACCCCTGTCTCTTAAATTTCTTTGAGATTATAGTAGTGCCCAGATCACCCCCGCTTTTTGCGCCTTCAGTCCACTTGCATGAGAATTCCTCTTCGAGAACGAGTCCATTCTCGCGGCGATAATTTCTCCTCTCTTCTTGTTGAAGCTAGTTTTTTTGTCATTTAAACTGATAGAATGCGTATTCTCTGTGGAATTATAGCGGCGTTGATGATTCTTATCTTGTCGAATCAAGCGCTCGCTGCGGACAAGAAAGACTCAAAAAAGTTGCAGATCGGCGTAAAGAAAAGGGTAGCAGACTGCAAAACGAGATCCAAGAGCGGTGATACACTCCACATGCACTACACTGTGAGTTAGAATATTTGCTGTATCGAATAATCTTTTGATATTGTGACCAAATGATTCTACGTTTGTACTTGTTGTTGAACTGCATTTTGAGATCTTGTGATTTATTTCTTGGCACGCACGTGTGACGTGTTATTTCCCCATTCATAATAGTAGACGGTGACAAACATCTGATCTCTTACAACACTAACAATAGATCATCAAAAGTGTGGGTTATGAGAATAAAGAGATTTATCAAGCAAAGTTAATTTTCTTGATATATATACAACCAAACTGTTGCTTAAAAAGGTTATATGTATATATTCATCAGGAGTCACAGTGATCTACAAAATGAATTAATCATATGGCAGCGTAAGGGAAATTTGCATTTTCATGTTGGTTTGATTCTTGGCTGGTTAAAAAGGCCCAGACAGATAAAATATATGCCAGGCATAAATT